CCTGTGGTTCAGCCTAGTACATCGTCCTGTGGTTCAGCCTAGTACATTGTCCTGTGGTTCAGTCTAGTACATCATCCTGTGGTTTGGACATAATAGTTTTGCTTGTGGCACATCATCCTTTTCTAAACTCCCAGGATATCTCTCCTTCTTCATGGCAGCAACAAATACACACAAATGCACACAGACACACGCAGAAACACGTCCATACACAGGCTTCCCACAGTATGGGGAAGAAATGAGTTTTCCAGGGCTGCGGGTATGGCTCCAGGGTCCAGCACTCACTAGTGTGTACAAGGCTCCAGGCTCAAGTTACTGAAAAGGGTTTCCCACTTTTCCCATCTAGATAGTACAGAAAGTTTAGTTAAATATAAAGGGTTTATTGCTAAGAGATGATGCTCACTCTATGTAAAACTGGCTGAATTCGCGAGGTCTGTGCATTTCTCCGTGTGCTCCTTGTTATGTGCTGAGCTTGGCTCTGCTAAGTGCTTCTTGTTGTTGTTGTTGTTGTTTTGAGAAAAAAACAAAACCTGGCTAGCTTAGAATTCTCCAGGCAAACCAGAGTAGCCTCCAGTTCACAAAGATTCACCTGCTTCTGCCTCCCCAAATTCTGGGATTAAAGGTGTAGATCACCATGCCCAGCTTCTAAGTAGTTTTACATGCTTGTGATAAACAGTAGACACGGAGATACTATGATGACTATCATAGTACATTTATTATTATTTCAAAATCAGCTAGTATTGCTAGCGGCTAAGGCAGGAGAATCATGAGTCTGAGGCCAGCTGCAGCTACATCGAGATGTCCAGGTCAGCGTGGGTTACACAGCAAGACCATATCTCCAAACGTTTTTTCCCAAAAGTTGGGGGAGGGACTTGCATGGCCTTATTGAAACGTGAGCTGTCACCTACATGCGCTCAGTGGTGGTCCATAAGTATTCCTAGTAGCTCCACCCACACAGCACCAAGGTGGACCATACCCAGAGGTCAGTCAGCATACCAACGACTAAACAAAGCTCGCTGTGCCCACACAGTAGAGTATCACTCGCTAGGAAGAAGGAAGCAACTACTAATTCTTGGATGAATATCAGATTGACAATGTTCAATGAGAAAAGTCACACGGGAAGGAGAAGAGAATGTGATTCGTATGTTTTATCTGAAAGTATAGAATGTTAGAAAATAGCAGCAAATAGAGATGAAGATACGAGGAAGCCTAAAGATGCCGGTTACTCTGATCACGCTGGCAGTCTGGGGTGCGAACCTGTCAGCATCCACTGAGCTGTAGATATTAAGTGAGTGGACCTAACTATGTAAATTACATCTCAACAACAACCCCCCCAAAAGTGAAAAAGGTTTCAATTCTCTTGCATCAAAACCATATTCAAATTCCTAACTAGCCCCTAAAAAAAAAATTTTTTTTAAACCTATTCTCTGCACTTCCAGGCAGCACCACTGTGTGGCAGTGCTGTCGCTACAAGGGAGGGGCGCTAGTTTTTACCAACCACGCTATCTCGTGGCTCGTGCTACTATGTCTACAGCGTTAACAGGGACTTGACTTGCTTTAAAGAAGCTAGAGGGCTGGGAAAACAGCTTTGCGGGAGCAACGATCGCCATGAAAGCATGATGCCCCGAGTTTTGCTCCCCCAAAGCAGACGTCTGTAATCCCAATGCTTCTAAGGAAAGATGGGAGGTAGAGAGAGGAGACCACGAGAAAGCTGGTGAGTCAGTTAGCCTGGGGTGCCAAGCAAAGAACTAGCGATTCTGCCTCAAACAGGAGGGAAGTCAATGACCAACACCCAGGGTTGTACTCTGATCTCCACAGCACACTGTGGCACCGGTTGGCCCCCATATATATTTGCATACCATACATAGGTTTTTAAAATTATTTTTAAGTCTCTCTCTCCCTTCCCCCCCGCCCGTGTGTGTGTGTGTGTGTGTGTGTGTGTGTGTGTGTGTGTGTGTGTATTAGTACAAGTGCCCTCAGGAGCCAGAGCTGTTGGCTGCCCCCGGAGCTGGAGTGTCAGGTGGTTGTGAGCCACTTGTTGTGGTTGCTTGGTCTAGAACTCAGGTCTTCTGGAAGAGCAATACATGCTCTCAACTACTGAGTCCCCTCTCTAGCCCCCACAAAGGTGTTATTTTTAAAGAAAGAGACCTTAAGGGGATGGAGACTTAACTCCATTAGTAGAGAGCTCCCAGCATGTACCAAGCTCTGAGTGAATTCCCCAACGCCGCATAAAAACAAGTGGGCGGGGCACACCTGGCACCCCAGCCCTTGGCAGTGGAGACAGGAGAGGCATCCCCGGTCAAGTTCCCTATCAGCCTAAGCTCCGTGAAATCTTGTCTCGAAACAAACAAAGAAAATAAATAAATAAATAAAACCAACAAAGCTGACCAAACAAAATCCAGAAGCCAAGGGAGGGCTGTCAAGATAGTTTAGCAGGTGAAGGTGCTTGCGGCCAAACCCGGTGACTTGAGTTTGAACCCTGGAACTCACATGATGGAAGCAGAGAGCCAACTTCCACAAGTTGCCCCCCGACCTCCCCTTACATGTGTGTGTCCGTACACACACATTATGCACAGAACAATAATAATTAAATGTAATTTTTAAAGACACAAAGGAAACTTTATTATACTTCTGTTCAATGAAGAATGGGTACTATGTAGAAATGGGATTGCAAGCTCGTGTGACCTCATATGACCCTGTGCTTAGAGAGGGAGCGGGGACATCCGACAAGACCTGTCTGCAGTGTTCCTTTACCTGAATGTTGGACAGGGCTCATAGAATGAGGGTCTTCGAGGAAGAGAATGACTTTTCTCTCCTCAGTAGCTTGGGCTGGCTTTGAACCCCTGCTCTTCCTTCACTGCTCAAGTGCTGGAACCAGCGTGCCTGGCTGAGAGTGACCTCTCTAGGTCTGGTTTTGTTTTGTTGTGCTGGAGATTCTGGTTCTGTGTTCTTGGGGTACCCCAGAGACAGGAGTTCTGGCTCTATGATGCTCTTGGAGTACCCCAGAGACGGAGCTCTGGTTCTGTGATGTTCTTGGGGTACCCCAGAGACAGGAGCTCTGGTTCTGTGATGCTCTTAGGGTACCCCAGAGACAGGAGTTCTGGTTCTATGATGCTCTTGGGGTAGCCTAGAGACCAGGAGAGCAGAGGTTAGAGAGATGCCCTTTAAGGCTGTGTCTTCCATGTTCCAAGTTCTCAGAATGTCAAAGAGCCATATTTTTTTCTGAGACCCAATAGAATGTACATTTTTTTTTGTTTTGTCTTTTGTTTTCAAGACAGCTTTTCTCTGTGTAACCCTGGCTGTCCTGGAACCCACTCTGTAGACCAGGCTGGCCTTGAACTGAGAGATCCCCACTTGCCTCTGACTCCCAAGTGCTGGAATTAGTCATGCACTATCACCGCCCAGCAGAAATTGCAAGTTTACCCGATCAATTAAATATGAAAATTGAGGAAGAAGAAGCAATGGGGTGGTGACCACCAAGTTTGACTACTGTGATGGGGGGGAGGGGCAGGCCCTGGGTGAGTAAGGACCACATGGAGTTTGAGATCCATGCAGAAGATGGAGGTAGAGACAGGAGAAAAAGCTGGAAATACAGCAATAAGACCGAAGAAAAGATCCTTTTACATCATCGTCAGCTAGAAGACAGTTGTGGAAGGCGACTGTCGTGGGAACCCAAATAGGTGGAGGGCTCTCCCATTGGGTCTCAATCTGAAGCAGGAAAAAATGGATGGATTTTAAACTGAAGGTCTCAGGTATCCAGAAAAGCTGAGGGTGTCTCAGTGTCTCAGGTATCCAGAAAAGGAAGCAAGACTATCTTCCTGGTTTAACCCAAATAATCATAAAAGTTTTAAAATAATGATTTTAATAGGTACAGTGATGCAACTCAGTGGCGAAGCACTTAGCTAGTGTGCACACAACTCAGTCCTCAGCAATAATAATTAATAGCAATAAATAATGATAATAATAAAACTGAAGGAAGGACATGGTGACAGGGAAGTATGCCCTGAATTTCTGCTCTTGTTCACAGCCTTCTGATGAAAAGAAGGAAGTTTCTTTACCACTTCAAAAATGTCCGCTGGGCTAGGGGTCGGCACGAGACCTACCTGTGCTACGTGGTGAAGAGGAGAGACAGCGCCACCTCCTTCTCACTGGATTTCGGCCACCTTCGCAACAAGGTACCAATGGTGATGGCTACTTTGTAGCAGTGATGTTAAGTTGTGGGTGCCACTGGTACTGAGACTGTCTCAAAGGGGAGGGAGAAGAGAAGGAGAGAAGAGAGAGAAAGCAAGCACCTATACTCCCAAGCTGACCAATTCTGGCCGTCCTCCCGCCTCTGCACACTGTAATCACGCCGGCATACGCCACCACACTGCACTTTTTCAGATTATTGGATTGTCTCCACCAGTTTCTTCTGATTCTTTTCACGTTCTATTCACCCACATTAGACAGGGTCAGAGGGTGTTAGTGCCCTCCCCAGTAATGCTGGGCACCCTAATGGCACACCTTGACAAGAATGACAAGAATGGTCCCCAGCCTCTATTGTCTTTCCCAGCCTCTGAACTGCTTTAAGACTAAAGTAAAGAAGGGGGCTGGAGAGGCTGCTTGGGGTTAAGAGCCCTTGGTGTCCTTTGGGAAGGCCTGGACTTGATTCCCAGCACCCACACAGCAACACACAGCCAACTATAATTCCTGTTCCAGGGGAACCAATATTCTCCCCTAGCCTCCAAGGGGACCAGGCACATGCAGGCAAAATGCCCTTGTGCATTAAATAAAAATAGCCTTTAAAAACCATTAAGGTAAAAAAGACAGACTTGGTGGTTCATGCATGTATCTTCAGTGCTTGGGAGGATGAGGCAGGAGAACTACCATAGATTCAAGCCAGGCTGGGCTTCATAGTGAGACCCTGTGTCAAAAAATAGCAAAATCGAAAGTAAATAAATAAAAACAAAAAATAAGAGTATTTTGATGCAGGAAACTTTATTTTTACACTTTCATTTTCAGCCAGGTGGTGGCGCACGCCATTAATCCCAGCAGAGGCAGGCGGATCTCCGAGTAAGAGGCCAGAGTGAGTTCCAGGGCAGCCAGGGCTAAACAGAGAAACCCTGTCTTTAAAAAAGTAATAATTTTCACAGTGCTAGGGATGAAATGAAGGACCTGCCCTTGTCAGACAAGTGCCCACCCCGAGCTCCACCGCTAGCGACCTCTGGCCCCTCAGCGCTCTAGCCCCTCAGGGCTGGGTTCTTTCTCAAGCTCTTTCCGGAGTGAGAAAAGCGCATTCATTGTCTTTAAAATTATTTTGAAAATCAAGGAGAAAAAAAATAGGAAAAATGATCTCAACTCAACTCTGTTTTTCTGAATAATTTTGTTCCCTCCTATTCGCAAAGACCAGAGGCCAGCTAACATATTTAACCTGGTGAGCTTCATTGGGGAGCCACAGAGAAGCTCCGGCCTGCTGGGTAATGAGATCAATCCTTCAGCTCCCTGAGAGAAGTGCGTTTCCACCAGAGTTCACTGAATTGCAGATTGGCTTCCACGTGCCCGTGGGCATCTCCAGGACTCCCAGAGACGGGCCCATGGGGTTGGCGATTTACTACGCAGTTTTTTCACAGGGTTAAATTTAGCAACATTTTAGCACACAATCCTACTTGGAGCCACGACACACTGTATTTCTAGATGGCTCTATCAACTGGTACTTGATCTTATTTCTCATGCAGTGCTCACAACACCAGCCCGATTTACTGCTAAGGAAATAGAACAACAGAGTTGAGTAGACTGAAAGCTATCTTCAGAGTCTTAGACTATTTTCCTCAACAGGAGGTGGACCTACTACTATGGCAATGTTCAGAGTCACGGCGAGCACACAACATACACACACACACACACACACACACACACACACACACACACACACTATTTAATCGCTCCCCACTTCTATGCCAAGATAGGCTCTCACCTCTCACACACACACACACAAAAAAAGCTTTATCTCCAGGCTGTGTCCTAATCCTCCTTACAAATTGCCTTGGCGCCACCTAGTGGTCATGGTTCAGTTTCACACGTTGCATCCAAACAGGTTCTTCCGAAACACAAATTTAATCCCTACAAGGTTTATAAGGATTCTTCTTCCAGTCGCAACTCAGTTCATCGTCCTTGATCCCAGACACCCGCAGCCTTTCTTTACCCATCAGGGCCAGCGTAGTAGAGAGATTTGACTCCAACAAGAGCTCTCTTAACTAGAAAATTAACAGTATGCTGCGTGGGGTGGTGCACACCTTTGATCCCAGAGCAACACTCTGGAGGCTGAGGCAGGTGGATCTCTATGAGTTTGAGACCAGCCTGGTCTATATGTCGAGTTCCAGGCCAGCCAGTTGCGACACCCCTTCCCCCAGCCCCTGGCCCTAGGTGGGAGGGCGGCATATCACTAGCGCTCGCTGCTCTGTCCGCAGTCGGGCTGCCACGTGGAACTGTTGTTCCTACGCTACATCTCGGACTGGGACCTGGACCCCGGCCGGTGTTACCGCGTCACCTGGTTCACTTCCTGGAGCCCCTGCTACGACTGTGCCCGGCACGTGGCTGAGTTTCTGAGATGGAACCCCAACCTCACCCTGAGGATTTTCACCGCACGCCTCTACTTCTGCGAGGACCGCAAGGCGGAGCCCGAGGGGCTGCGGAAACTGCATCGCGCCGGGGTCCAAATCGGGATCATGACCTTCAAAGGTGAGAGTTATGCCCAGGAGAGGGAGATCTGAACTGCAGTTTAGAGTGAGGCTAGTCAGCGGGAAGACTGAGGGCGGTGGGGGACCGGGTTGGGGGGGGCGGCTCCATAACGGCTCTCAATTCCTCGTCGATATCAAAAGTATTACTTTGTTTTTTGAGACCGAGTCTCACTATTCCAGGCTGGCCTTCAACTTGCAGCTCTCAGGCCCCTGCGTTCCCGAGTGCTGGAATTCTGAGTATGCACCTGTCTCAGAATGATCAGAATTTGAGGGACAGAAGTTGGGGCCCTGAGGGTGTGCTCAGTGACAGAACTCTTGTCCAGCTTGTGCAAAGCCCTGTGTTCCGCCCTTACCAGACTACTACTACTACTACTACTACTACTACTACTACTACTACTAATAATAATAATAATAATAATAATAATAATAATTTTTAAAAAGAGGGTCAGATAGATAGATGGCTCAGAGGGGTCTTTGCCTTGATGACTTAAGCTTGAACCCTGGAGCCCCACATGATGGAAGAAGAGAAGCAAGTCTCAAGAACTGACCTCGGACCTTCTAACCTTCCTACTTCTGACCTTCACCCACACACTGTACCCCCCCACACACACACACTTTTATTTTGCCTTTCTTTTTTTCTTTTAAGACTATTTCTACTGCTGGAATACATTTGTAGAAAATCGTGAGAGAACTTTCAAAGCCTGGGAGGGGCTGCATGAGAATTCTGTCCGTCTAACCAGACAGCTCCGGCGCATCCTTTTGGTAAGACTCTCTCTCTCTCTCTCTCTCTCTCTCTCTCTCTCTCTCTCTCTCCCCTCCCTCCCTCCCTTCCTCTCCCTTCCTCTCCCTCCTTCCCTTTCTTTCTCTCTCTGTCTCTCTCCCTCCCTCTCTTTCTGCCCCTCCCTCTCTATCTCTCTCTCTCCCCTCCCTTCTCCCCCTTCCCCCCTTCTCTCTCTCCCTCTCTCTGTCTCCCTCTCCCCTGACTGGAGCCTCTTAGATATTTTCTGAATCACTCATTTTTTTATATGGTGACTGTTTCAGGGCTCCTACAGTCCGGTTTCCTTCCTTTTCCGTCTTTCCCCAGGCAGAGCCCCGCTTAGACTCCTTCCTCTCCTCTTCTCTCCACCGAGTCTTTGCAACTCTTCCTGTTATTGCCCTCCCCTCGGATGGGGTTCCTTCCAGGCCAGAATTCTCCCTCCTAAAAAGGTCCTGGTCCCAATTTACTTTCCTCTCAGGCCGCCCACTTCATTTAAACGCGTCCCCTCCCCCAGGTTCAATTTTGAAGCCATTCACTCAAATTATATCTCTCTCCGCAGCCCTTGTATGAAGTCGATGACTTGCGAGATGCATTTCGTATTTTGGGACTTTGATAGCAACCTCCTGGAATGTCACATGTGATGAAATTTCTCTGCTGAAGAGAGTGGATAGGAAAACAATCCTTCAAGTACCTGTTTTTCTTCTTAAATGCTCATTTTCATAGAGTATGGGGGGAAATTATAAGACTTTTAAAAAATGCTTGCTATGCAAAATAGCATAGGATCTCCAGAGGGATGATACAACTGGCAGTTTTGAGAGCAACATCGCCATCTGCTGGGGAACAACAGAACTTCATGACTTTGGACCATAGCAACGTTTCTCTGAGTTTTAAGCAGGATGGAAACAGAAGGTATATGCTTAGAAGAGCATATGGAGACGAACACGCGATTTGTTACACGCACCTTCTGTGTTTTTATTCCTTTGAATTATCAGAGGTACCAGTGACAGATTTTTCTACTCTCTTCCTTTGGGGCTCACTTTCAAGGAAGCCTTTTCCCTGAGGCCATAGCTTGTGGTCTGTCCTGGTGAGGGAGCAGGACCAACCATAAACCACTCTCTCCAAAGCATTAATATGCAGGCATGCGCTGTACGTTTTCATTGTCTGTCGTGCTTTTTTATATTTGTGTGTGAGAGGGCTTGGGTGGGCTTTGAGCTATGTGTGATCAGCGCTGGGTGGCTGTAGTAAAGGACCTTAAAAGGCAGATGAGGACTATGAAGAAATCTGGAAATGAATTGATGCCGCAGGGAGCGAATGCTCTGGGAACACAGACTTTTTTTTTTAATGTCATCAGCTTCTTTGCAATCTGATCTAGCGTAAGAGTTCAAGAGTTTAAGTCAATTTTCAGAGCACATCTCTTAAACAGCCTTCATTCTCTGAAAGGGATGAATTAAGCATCCTAATTTTTTTAAGTAGTCGGTGCCTTGCAATAAAGAAAGGAGCAGCAAAACCAGATCCAACAGTCATCAGAGCCACTTGCTTCCCAGTAGAAATGGCAGATTCTTCCCGGGTCCTCCTCCAGTGGCTGCGACTGACACAGAGGTGGTGAGCCTCCGGATGCTTTGGTCCAACACGGTGCTGCTGTGGAAGCACCCAGAAGGGTGCAGAGATGGGAGGCGGCAGAAATGGCTGCATCACTCTGTTTCCTTCCCTCACGACCGACTCTTAAAGAAGCCTGTGCTTTAGAAACGCCACAGACTTCTAGTAATGGACACCTGGGAGCTGCTTGAGTATCGAGAGGTGATCTGTTCTCGTTGGTGGATTGCCAACAGTTAGAGGTTTCCAGTTTTTGTATGTGTGTGATGCTGCTCCCCCAAACTATGAACAGTATAAGAGGGGGACAAGATGGCGTGTTTGAGGCCAGCCTGCGCTGCACAGTGAGACCCTATTTAAAACAGTGGTGGGGTGGTAAACAATACTTAATAAGGAAAAAATGCAAAACCACAAAAGGAAATTATGTTTTACCCAACAAAATCTAAGGAACCAACATAGACTCCCTATTTGTCCCTCTGTGTGCCTAGTCTCCCTAACAACTACCTTGGATGGTGAGAAAAGAATTCAGAATAAACGTTCCTGTGCCGTTATTACCCAATTACCCTTATAATGCAATTAAAAGTCCCACGGGAAGTCCTGTGCACACAATGTATTTATTGTATGTAAACTGCTGTGGAAGAGTTGAAAATAAATATCGTGACTTCCTGTATCTATTCGTGTTTTATATTATGCTGCACAGCGTCCAGTGACATCCCTGACATCGTTTCTTCTTCTGAAGTATTGAAGTGGGCTCCTGAAGTCGCCTACATTTGAAACGTTAGAAATGACTACAGCAGCACAGAAAAGTGCAGCCCTCTAAAGCCGTGGCACCACCGCTCGGCAGCTAGTCTCTTGATTTTGAGAAGCTTTTTTCCCAGCAGCAAATTTGTTCTGGCTCATTTCACATGAACTGGATAAAGGAATAAAATGTGGAGGTTTTGAAGATGAACTACTGAATAAAATAATGTTGAAGATGATTTATAAAATTAAAGTCTTGCAGATTGCAGGGCGGTGGTAGTTCACGCCTTGTTGGGTTCACGGGGGTTGCGCAAGGATGGGGGCAGACAGTCGACGTCTAGGAAACCAGAGCACACATTTTTTATTTTATTTATTTATTTATGGTTTTTCGAGACAGGGTTTCTCTGTAGCTTTGGAGCCTATCCTGGAACTAGCTCTTGTAGACCAGGCTGGCCTCAAACTCACAGAGATCTGCCTGTCTCTGCCTCCCGAGTGCTGGGATTAAAGGCGTGTGTCGCCCCTGCCCGGCAACCAGAGCAAACTTTATTCCAGGAAAAAATTAAAAATTAAATAAATAAATCTCCATGGGGTACAAAAAGCTTATCAGCCAGCTGAGACCACAGCCAGAGATGGACTTGTAAGGCTGTGGCAAGGGGCAGCTTCCGAACCCCACCTTTTTTTTTAGTAAGGATTAGGCAACAGCAAAGGAATTTTTATAATCTTGAGGTGAAATTTAGACACAGATTGCCCTTCTTTGCAACTTCCATTAACAGAGTTTTTCAGTTAAACTAGTGTTTGTATTCAGTCCATCGTTTTTCCCTGGCGTTCCCTGATGGTGTTTACCAAGGCTCTGCCCCTCCCCTGACACTGCCAGTTTTGCATAGCAGGGAAGGGTATGGGACAATATAACTAAAAAGTCAAAAGTCTCATACATCCCATTATTTGAAAGTTAACTCAGGTCCTGAGTGGCCAGGGAGGGTATCTAAAGCCTGATCCTCAGTTTACAGAGCCACCCTAAGTTTGCAGAGGGCCACTTCAGCCTCACAAATAGAGCTATGAGTTGTAAAGCGGAGTCACCCACTGAGAAAGCTGCTGACAGGTTGCTCTCATTCTTGTAGGCTTACAACTTTATATTTAATTATTTTTGGAATCTAAATTTTTATATTCTTATTTTGAACTCGTAGTCTTTAGCCCCAGAACTTGGAAGATAGAGGCAGGAAAAACTCTGTTAGTTTGAAGTCAGCCTGGTTTACACAATGAGACCCTGTTCAAGAAGAAAGAAAGAAAGAAAGAAAGAAAGAAAGAAAGAAAGAAAGGAAGGAAGGAAGGAAGGAAGGAAGGAAGAAAGGAAGAAAGGGAAAGGAAAGAAGGTGGATAGAGTCTGAGGAATAATTCCTACACACACACACACAACACACCCTGAACCCCTACATGGTGAGACACATGAGGCGCTGTCTCAAACTCAACGAGCAATGCTGACAACTGGTAAACCCACAGAGACCCCTAAACGCTGGTCGTGGGGGTGGAGGGAGAAGGAAATGAGGACCTGCTTAGCTTGGATGTCGGGATTCATGCAGAGGGAGGCATTCTCCAATAAAATTAGTAGAATTCTGTGAATTGGAGCTTTTGGTGTTTTTTAGTTTGTTTTGTTTTTCCGGGCTTTTTTTGTTTTTGCTTGTTTGTTTTTGTTTTTCAAGACGGGGGTTTCTCTGTATAGCCCTGGTTGTTCTGGAGCTCACTCTTTAGAGCAGGCTGGCCTTGAACTCACAGAGATCTGCCTGTCTCTGCGTCCCAAATGCTGGGGTTAAAGGTGTGCGCCACCACTGCCCGGCTGAGCTTTTGTTTTAACTAATTGATTACTTTGCCTGGCTCTTCTGCTCCATCTCCTGAGTATTAGGATTACAAACACACACCACCACATGTGGCCCCTAAAGAGCTCTCTAACTCCTCCCCAAGATGAAAAGTAAACAGCCCCCAAGAGTTGCGAGCAGGTCCAGCGCTCACGGGGAAGACGTAGTGGTTCCTACTGCGCGTACTCTCATGAGACGCCAACTTCAGACGCCGTTATTCTGAGAAATTAAAATCACTCTATGATTTTGACCAAATGTGCTACCGGCAAAGTTGTTGGGAGCATAGCAGGAAGGTCCTTGAGCCCACAGATCTCCAGAGAAACCAGGAATGTTAAGCAGCAGGATGGTCTTTCCAGTGGGAAAGATGTAAACCCGTTCTTCTGAATAACTGTTTCTTCAGAAAGCTGAGAACGGGAAGTGACAGACAGCCTGGTGATCATCTGTTGGCGGCCGCACCAAGTTCTTACAGCTAACACTGGAGGTGGCTAGCAATCTAAATGACCCTGATAGCCAGAGGCACCTCCAAACTCCCACAGCCAGGACCAGAGGTGTCTAATAGCCCAAATGACCTCCAGCTAACTGCACACCAAGCCAGACCCTTACACCCTCTCTAGAGCCCATCTTCCCGGAAGAAAGGAGTTGAGTTTCAGTGTAATTACGGTGGATTCTATCACACTGGGAAGCGTTTCCCAGACTGTACTGGGTTTAAACACGTTGGGAAGAAACCGCCTGTTATTGGACTCCCGGAGTCCGATCCAGGTTCGTGAAGTCAATCTGCACCTCTCTCTTAGAACAGTCCCGCCTCCCTCTGTGACACCCAGAGGGACCCCTCACAAAGTACCACACTCTCCCTCCCTCCGGTGAACTCCCAGCTTTATTCTGTCCTAGGTGCCCTCCCTAGGCATAAGGCTTAGTCACAAGCCCAGCCACAGAACACACACCGCCCACAACAAACCCTCCTTTTCTATCGCCTCAGCAAAGCTCAAACTCTAGAACTGGTTTTAACTGGAAATCCTCATGGCTTCCCATAATGTATGCTCCCTTCCCTACAGCGAGCGACAAGTTCGCTCTTTTCAAACGCTCTTTTCAAACTCCCTCGGGGCCATTGACCCACCAAACTCTTCAGTCAGTCTATTGAAACGGCCATGACAGACACTAATTGGTTTTAGCTTATTATTATTATTATTATGTGTGTGTGTGTGTGTGTGTGTGTGTGTGTGACTTTTTTGTTGTTGTGACCAGGGGCAACTTACAGAAGAGAGAGTTTATTCACCTTTAGCAGCAGAGAGACAAGATACCATCCTGGTGGGGTGGAGGCATCAGATGGCAGGCTTCACGTGAGCAGCAGGATGTTGAGCCGCCCTATCTTTAACTGCAAGCGCCACGCAGAGAGTGAACTGGAAGTGGGCGATGCTGTGAGATTAAGCCCACCCGCCCCTGGTGCTGTATTCCCACAGCACTTCCGGACCTCCCCAAACAGCACCCGCGAACTGGGCAACCTGGGAACGGAGTTCAGGCAGCTGAGCCTATGGGGACATTTCTCATGCTAACCATGTGACATGTGCTCTTACATGGTGAGCCATCTTACCAGCTCACACTTCATAATTTTTATTTCATTTTACTAATGCTCACTCTGTGGTGGTGGTGATGGTGGTTTTTAAGGAGACTTCACTAAAATCCATGCTAGTGCACTAATTGTTCACGCATTCTTCCCAAACTTTATGCACCGTGCTCATCTCTATGCAGATGCAATACACACACACACACACAAACACACACGCACACACACACAAACACACACGCACACACACACAAACACACACACACGCACAAACACACACACACGCACGCACACGCACACAAACACACACACACGCACCCAAACACAGAGACTCTGATTTAAGATGGTTGAAACATCTTGGGACTGGAGAGGTAGCTCAGTAGCTTAGAGTCCTTCTTGGTCTTCCAGAGGTCCCCAGCACCGCATCAGGCAGCTCACGAGCACCTGTAACTCCAACTTCAGGGGATCCGATATCCTCTTCCGGCCTCCATGAGCACCTGCATACATGTGGCATACAAACATACACACACACACACATAAATTAAAAAATATAAATAATCTTTTTTTAAAGCAGTCTTAAACCAGGTGATGGTGGCATACGTCTTTAATCCCAGCACTCAGGAGGCAGAAGCAGGAGGATCTCTGTGAGTTCTAAGTCAGCCTGGTCTACAGAGTTAGTTCCAGGATAGCCAAGGCCCTGTCCCAGAGGGAATAAAAAGTCTTAAAGTCCATGTATCCAGAGAAACACTATTTGAAATTTTGAAATGGGACTCAGAGAGCTTCTTTTCACGGAAATTGGTATTTCTAGACTTTTGAAACATAAACAAATATTCAATCAGGACTGAGAGTGTAGCTATTTGGTAGGGAGAGTGCTTGCTCAGTGTGCACCAAGTCCCGGGTTCAGGGTATGGGGATACAAGCCTACAATTCCAGCATTCAGAGCACAGGAACAGAAGAGTCAGAAGTTCAAGGTCAGCCCTTTAAAATGCCTCAGACATTTAATGCATTTGTCACGTAAGTCTGATGAGCTGAGTTCAATCCTTGGAAGCCATGTCAAAGTGAAAGGAGAGAGAAGACTCCTGCAGGTGTCCTCTAACCCCGACAGGATTGCAGTGCACACCGTGCATCTTCACACAGACATCATGGAAATATAGATCATATTAATATATGAATGTGTGTATATATATATATAAATATATATAAAGAGGACCTTGATATATATATATATATATATATATATCAAGGTCCTCTTTAGCTACTTAGTAAAATTGAGATCAATCTGGGCCTGTCTCTACAACAAAAAAAAAATAAAAACTTAAAACACAATGTTAAACCTTTATTATTTACTCAGTGAGAAGTGAGGCTGGCACCACCACACCCAGTCTCCACCCGTGTTTTAACAACCATAATCAACAGGTTCCTATCATTCTGAGGTTTAAGATGTGTTAGTTTTATTTTCTTAGAGGACTAAAATTTTCATGATGTGCAATAATTTCATATTTTGTTTGTGCATGAACTTTA